CTGTGATTACAGGCGTGAGCCACCATGCCCAGCCTCCTGTTGGTGGTCTTAATGCTTTTATATATTTGGGGATTTTTGAGTCCCCCCACCACCACACACACAGACACCTGGAAGGGACCATCTGGAAGGTGATAGGTGTGGGGATATGACTCCTTCTGGAGCCCTCTAGACTGGCACATTGATTGAAGTGGCATAGTTCTCTACCCTGGGCAGATCTGTGGAGGGGGGCTCATCCTGGCTTAACCCCCAAAGACACCCCAGTTGGCTCCCTAATGGAGGGCAAGCGATTTAACATCTTTGTGCTGAAGAGGAAATGGTGGAGTGAGAACTGGCTCAACCCCTGAGGCAGTAGTAGGAGTCTCAGACCTGGAAATTTTTTTTTTTTTAAGTAAAGATTTCAGGAATCAATGGAAGTTTCTTAAACCTGACTGAAGGGTCCAGCCTCAGATACAGCGACAAGATCATGGGGCAGGGGAGTGGAGAGGAACCCCATAGATCACAGGCATACTTCCTTGTGTGTCCCCATATGGGCCTGCCTTAGACATTCTGTGGAGCGATGCATTTTGCATCCCTGAGCTGGATTTGCACCCATGTCAGTGAAATAAGTGGAAATGAGTTCTTGCGGATGTAGCTGTGGGGAGGACGACCACAGGTAAGGAACACAGACCTCACATCAAAGGGAGGATGGAATTTTAAAAAAAGTTAGGTGCAGTGGCGGGCACTTGTAATCCTAGCTACTTGGGAGGCTGAGGCAGGAGGATTGCTTGAACCCAGGAGGCAGAGGTTGCAGTGAGTCAAGATTACAGGCGTGTGCCACCACACTGGACTAATTTTGTATTTTTAGTAGAGACAGGGTTTCACCCTGTTAGCCAGGCTGGCCTAGGATCTCCTGACCTCGTGATCCACCCGCCTCAGCCTTTGAAAGTGCTGGGATTACAGGCATGGGCCACTGTGCCCGGCCTCACATTCTATTTCTATTGGACAGCACTATTCTAGGAGTCTCCATGGCCTGTTTCCTCACTACAATCTGCTCTCATGGCATAATTTTAACATAATGACTCCATTCTACTGACTCCCTGATGCCTTCCCCTTCCCCTTGCTCACTTTATTTTTCTCCTCAGCACTTATCACCCTGTACCAATACATATTTCACTTATTTCTTTTAGTTATTGTCAATCTCCCCAAGTAGAATGTCAGCTCCAGAAGGACCTGGATTTTAATCCATCTTGTTCACTGTCCTGTCTGTTCCTTGACCAGGACCTGACTCATAGCAGACTGTCAATATTTGTTAAATGAATGAATGACACAGATGTGCTCCATTACTGCCTCTTGGGTCAATATTGCCAAGCCTGTCCCCTCTATTTGCTGGTGATCTCAGAGGGACCAAAGCCTCCTCTCTGGTTGATGTGAGTCTCGGCCTGGCCTTTGAAACAGGACAAATCTGGTTTGCATCCTGACTTTTCCCTGAATCTGGAGTCTCTCCCAGAATCTGCAGCTTCCCCCACCCCATCTGTGTCTGTTCCCCTCTTCTAGTAGCAACAACTTGATATTCTCTGGAGACCCACCCTTCTGCCATTTTCAGTCCACATGGTTAGGGCGGGGCTGACTGCAGCCCCCAGCAAAGGTGGGGCATGTGACTGAAGCCAGAGAAGCAGCCTTGGGACTTTGGTTGGAACTACAAAGGAACAGTGACTCTCCTATTGGCTGCTAAATTGGTGGTGTGTGTGTGTCACAGTGGAGGGAGGCTTAGCATGACTGACTCCATTTTGCGTCTGATGGCCTGTAGTAATATCCTTTAGGTAAAAAGCTTCTGCTTAGCTTTGGGTGTAGACCAGCTAATTATAGAAGGAATTTATAGTTCAACTTTAGAAAAAAATAACAGTTCCTTTCCCAAAACTAACCACCCCACCAGGAGATCAGGAAACTGTACACACAAGTAACAATGTTATAATAAAGATTTACAAGAGTATTTTATGTGACCTGACCTGTATCATCAAAGAAGTTTTCTTGGCCGGGCACGGTGGCTCACGCCTGTAATCCCAGCACTTTGGGAGGCCGAGGCGGGTGGATCACGAGGTCAAGAGATCGAGACCATCCTGGTCAACATGGTGAAACCCCGTCTCTACTAA